CTCAAACGAGAGCTGCGCAATATGGTCAAATCCGACACTCTGAGATTATTCAACCCTAACCACATGTGACGTGATGTATTCACCTAATGGCTAGCTCCCATCAATCAGAGTTCCAGAAAGCACAAAGCAAGCTGCATTCGGATAAAGGGAACATACTCATGAAAATTATTCTCATAACAAGAAACTATACTAACATATAATGCTAAGCTCATACTATTAGGCATAACCTACACAGGCTATTCGACTACTGTCTACTCACTACTAGCATGCAATTCACATCAAGCTGAAACACATAAAGCAGGCACATAAGGCATCCTCCTAGATCCTTAGTCCTATACTAGCATGTTGTTCTACTGAAACTGAAACTAATAATATAAACTTGTATGGGTAATTTGGGAGTACTTACTTGAGCTTGGCTGATCGCACACACCACACCCTTTTTCTCTTTATCAAAACTCTTTTTCTTTCTAAGTTCCTTTCAAAAAAATCCCGAAGGTGTACCCGAATCCCTCAAACCAAGGCTCTGATACTAAATTGTAACATCCCAAAATACGACCCAAAAATTTTTGTTTAATAATTACTAAAACCATCATAACAATATCATAAAATAAAACCCATACTTCAATATCTCAAAACCATAACAAAGTATCACGAGAAAACTGTATCAAGACTGTATCAAATCATATCTATGAAAAGCTAAATCAACTCCCAGGACAAAACTGAAGCTATGGTGTGTGCGATGCCATCATCCCGATCTCTTCCCTTTACTTGCGAAAGTACCTGAAACCAAAACTGAAACTGTAAGCACGAAGCATAGTGAGCTCCCCCAAACTACCACAGACCATATAATAACATATAAACACATACTGGGCCTTGCCCACTGCATCGGACCGAAGTCCGGAACTAACCAGGGCCTTGTCCTTTGCATCGGATCGAAGTTCGGAAACTGCATCGGACCAAAGTCCAGTACTGACTGGGACCTTGTCCCTTGCATTGGATCGAATTCTGGAACTAACTGCATCAGACCGAAATCCGGAACTGACTGGGACCTTGTCCCTTGCATCGGACCGAAGTCCGAAAACTGACTGAGCATAACATAGCATAGCATAAACATATATATTGCATACTGCATCGAACCGCAGTCCGGAACACATAACACAAAACATGCTTGAATCACAAAGACATCAAGCAATCTAACTATTGCATCGGACCGAGGTCCGGAAACTGACTGCTAACTAAATGGGTTGGCATTGTGGCTGTACACCCGTTCCTACTGGAAGGAAAACTCACCTCGTGATGTTGACTGTTGAACTCCTAAATGAGAAATCCCTGACTGCTGCTCCGGCTGCTTCCCAACTATCATGGGAAATAAAATACTAAATCATAATAGGGTTTCTCATATGGGTAAAATGACCATTTTACCCCTTCTATGGCATGGGTCACAACATGGCGCAAAACCCTAAATTCCTTCTAAGTCCATCCATGGCCCCACTATAGGCCCACTAATGGCCCAATTTGCTATATTGGCCTAGAACCCCTTTATTGGGCCTTACTCAAGCGCAATACTAAATCCTTGGTCCTTAGCAACTGAATTCTGATGGTCTATAAAGGCCCAAGGACCTTAAGCCTGAAACCCAGCCCACACTGAGGCCCAACACTTCGAATCCCAAATTGGCAGCGTACGCGGGGCGTACACCAAGGTATGCTGAGCGTACTGGCTGCTGGCTTGTACGTGGCACGTACCTCTTTGTACGCCCAACGTACAGCTCTGTTAAGCCAAAATCTCATTAAGTGCTAAATAATACGATCCAAAAGCTACAAATCCAGATCCTAAGCTCATTCCATGACTTAAGCCATAAAGTTGCTTACTTGATGTCTTACAAGTCTCATAAAGGCTCAAACTTTCACAAATAACATTCTACTTCCATGTAGCTAACTAGATCTCATGCACGGTTCCATATAATCCACAAAGATTGAAACTTTATTGCTAGGAAGATGTTTCTGAGCCTTAAGGATGGCAACCCAAGCTCCAAATCCGACTTACAAGATCAAGACTCAACCTTTAGACCTAAAAAGGTCCAAACTTCCATAACCTAGATCTAGAAGGAAAGAGGAAGAAAGTTCAGAACTTTATACCTTCCTTTGATGACCAAGAGGGTGCTAAGTCCAAATCTCTGAGCTCAAGCTTCTTCTCCAACTTCTTCCCTTCCTTCTTCACTACTTCCTTTCCTTGAAACACTCACAAAAGCTTCTTCACACACAAAGAGAGGATAAGAACGAATTAGGGTTTTCTTGAGAGTAAGGAGGTTGATGGGGAAACAGAGAAGGAGGCTATAATGGGGTTTATATAGCCTTAAACCCCTAAAATTAGGGTTTTTCCTCAGGCCGCGTACGCTGGGCGTACCCTATGGTACGCTGCGCGTATGCTTCTCATCCCCGTGCTTCATTTAACCATTACACCCAGCGTACAACGGGTTACGCCCCACATATGGCTTATGGGCAAGCTATGATTTGGCCCAAAACAAAAGGCCCACTCCCATATACAATTCTATTATAGCCCAAATTAAAATTTGAGAATTTAAATAAATTTATACCTCGGAAGACGATCGTTACACAATTTGTATAAAAGAATGAGTTTTATGGCCCATTAGGGCTAATTAGATTTGTTATGGCCCAATAAGGGTATTTTATTTCATTCTAGGCCCATTATGGCCCAAAATGTTAAAATAAGTGAAAGTGGGTCCAATTAGATCCCATTTAAGAGTTCTAAGCCCAAAATAGTCAAAATTAGAAGCATATTGGCCCATTAGGCCCAATAAGGAAAATCCTAGTCCAAATGGACTTCAACTGGGATTTATAATGTTTCCAATCTTTAGTTGACAATTAGCAGTGTTTGTATAGAGTATTTGATGAAACCTTAGTTATTATTGAATAAACATCATACATGCTTTCACATTTTTGGTTCACAAATGTTATCATTGTTGTTGTTACAAAGCATAGAATTTCTAGTTGTGATAGGACTAGATTGATGTGTTCAATTAGAAGTCCTACATCATCATAAATCAGAAATCGGGAAACATAGATTCTGGACAAAGAGATTCGCTACATTCCATTTCTTATGTATCTAGTAGAATGAAGCGTCATGTGATCACTTATCTTAGGACACGTAACTGACTGGGTCAAAGTTCGGCAACAACTTTTGGAAGCTACAATTTGCTAGTCAAATTTAGAAGTCATACTAGCAATTATAGTTACAAACTTATCCATGTGGGAGACTGTTGGAATAGGTGTCTAAGCTCATAACTCTAATTGGTATGTACTGGAACTGATAGCAGCACAATCCTTTTGGGCTGCCCTCAAACCTAGCAACTGGACAAGGAAATTATGAAATGAGAGATATTGATTTGTTATAAGATTGATAAATTAATATAAATGATTCATTAATATGTTAAAAGAATGATATATTAATTAGAAATCATAAGGTTGAATTAATAGTTAGGTAGAAATTAATTAGAATTAATTTTGGGGTTAACTGTATTAATTATAAAGTACAAGGACTAGTTTGCAATTATCAAATAGTTGAGTGGAAGGTTCCAGAACCTCCTTGAAAGGGGGTGGACGAAATCTATAAGGGAAGCCCTAATGATTTCATCCAAGGGGCTTGGATAAGGCCTTTGGATAAGCTTAGGCCCCAAGCAAAGGAACATTAGGGTTTTCCCTTAACCCTAGATCCATCAGCTATATAAGGAGCCTCCTGGCACCTAAAATCGACCACTCCTTCCTTGAACAAACCCTAGGGCTGAAAATTGCATACCCTAATCTCTCTCTCTCTCCTTCAAGTTTCATTCTTGCTAGCTTTTGGGTGTAACTCCATTAGAGACATTACATTTGTGGTGCTAAGCTTCCAAGAAGATCAAGATCAAAAGGATTACCAATTGTTTGCTATAACAATTGAAAGGTATGTAACTCTTAAACCCTAATTGGTTAATTTTGAAAATAGCCTCTCTCCTTAGGGTTCTTGTTTTGCAATTCAAAGTTATATGTTCAATAGTTAAAACATAGATCCAAAATAGGTTGCATGTGAACTTAGGAATTGTTTTTCTAGTTTATTTGTTTTACCTAAAACCCATCACTCCCAACATCGTACGCGGGACAATCATTAATAAGGTATCCGGGGATGTTCATGATTATGGTTACTGTTGTATCGGCTGATTGTTTAGTTCTTGTGGTTTGACTTAGGTCTTGTGTTCTAAACGTCAATTTTTTTTCAAACGATCATGGATTTTAATGATCTTTATATTCACACGTTTGTATTTGAGTCTACCACAACAACTCTCATTTAGATTACTTTCGTTAAAAGGTAATACATTTTTACTTACGATCTTATATCCATGCATTCTTTATTAATGTATGCATGTTTTTTTTTTATAAAATCGTAATTAAAAATATATTATTTTTATTAGGAATAATCTAAACGAAAAATTGTAGTAGACTCAAATACGATCATGTGGATACAAATTTCGTTAAAATCTGTAATCGTATGAAAATGTTGTGATGTTCAAAACACAAGATCTAAGTCAAACCACAAGAACTAAACAACCAAACAGTTGATGTCGCGGTAACCATAAGCATGAACATCCCCGGATGCCTTATTACCGATTGTACCGCGTAGGATGTTGTGAGAAAACCCTAAAAAAATCAATCATAAGTACTGAATATGTATAAAAAGAATAAGGATTTATTTTGCAACAAAAAAAATATATTAAGAACTAAATGTGCAAAAAAAATATTAAGGATTAAATGTATACAAAATAAGAAATATATTACCCTTTTAAGTCATTTTTTCCGGTTTACCTGAAATAACCGATCATAAAAACTAAATGTATACGGTTACAAAACTCAGAAATATTTGGGATGGTTGCTCATAAAGGGCCAAAGGGGGAAAATTGCAGTTAGTTGATTCGGCAAAAAAAAATTACACATGTGGTAAATGGGAGGTACTCCAATACCATTGTTCTCATGTATTGCGTGTCCATGTTTTTCATTAAATAGTTATCAATATATTTACAATTATATTTAGTTTTTTCACTTCTGCTACTCGGGCATCTTTGTCATGAAGCATATTATACAAATTATAAATTAAGTTTATTGCATAAGTTACAACTCCTAAAACAAAATGTACATGGGAACATCTATACATTGATTGGCTAAAGATTTGGGTTCCCAAAGTAGAGATTTTAAAGGCTACTGGACATTCAAATTTCCACATGACTTAAAGAAGTTGATCATGTTGTCATAAAGATCTTCATATGCTCTTGTGCTTAACAAGAAGTCTATATGGCCATAATCCTCCAAAAACAAAACATTTGGTTTTGATTTCAATTCTTTTAGTGTGTGTTCCACATCAATCACATCCCCCAAAGCATCGTTTCCCCCATAAGCCATCCAAATTGGCAATGATTCTGGGATTTTGCTAAGATCAAATGTTGGTGGCTTCAGTTTTCCATATTGTAGCAGATTCTTTATACTTCCATAGTCGTACCTTGCAAATGTACCTTTGCGTATCACTGGAAATCAATATATATATATATATATATATATATATATATATATATATATAAAATGAAAATGTCACACGAATGTATAAAATGTTGGATGTAATTGTAAAACAATAAGGAATTAGGAAACAGAAAGAGACTTTGGAAAAGATGCTTCAAGTTCTTTACAGATGAAGGATGAGGTTCGTATTCAAGATATACATCCACACGGCTGCTGTTAAAACAGCAGTTTTCACCTGCAACATGCAGAGTAAATTAAAGTTTGGTCCTTGTTTTAAGGTTTCATAACAATTTTGGTCCCTACAACCTTGAACCTTGAACTAAGAACCAAAATCAAAAAGAATCCTTGAAAAATGGAACCAAAATCAGAGAGTCCCAGGGACCAATTTGTAATTTACGCAAAATATCAGCAACATAGTTAAACAAGTTGGTCAATTAGTAAACTAGAAACCAAATTAGTAAAAGAATAACCTGTAATGGATGCTAACATATCACTGCAATCTAAATGCCCATCACAAGCAGACTCTATCATGTTTGTGAGAATGTCACTGAAAACAAACAGTGTAGATATATATATATATATATATATATATATATATATATATATATATATATATATCATGTTTTTTATTGATTTAGACACTCAAATGTTCAGAAAAAAGAAAATGGAAAATGGAAAAATAATTAACCTCTTCAAGTTCAGTTGATGCATTCCCAGTAACCCAAGTGCCTATGAAGAAAATTTTACGTATAAATTTTTTTAAAAAAAATGATTGAATGAATTTGAAGAATAGAAAGAGACCTCATCAAGATACATATGAACAAGATTAAGAACGAGTTTAGATGTGATGTGATCCAAATATGAGATAGGAGAAAGAAGAGCAGCAGCTTCAACCATGCTAACAATATCTGGTTGAGTAAAAGCAGCCAATGACATTATTGTTCCCTGAGAAAACAGAATACATAGACACTATATATTAGCAATGTAGTTTTATAAGACAAATTTACAAAATAAATTTGAAGTGTAATAATTAAAACCTGTGAATGTCCCACAACAAAAACTTTGGAGCTTGTTTTGGAATTTATATAACTCAGCATTGTTTCAAGATCATAAAGAGCCATCTCTTCCCAACTCCAATCCCAAAACTCCTAAATCAGGGCCAAAACAAAAAAGCAATTAAACATATAGCATTTGAAATTAATGACTAAAGGTTTATAAAAATGTAACATAATCTATTTTTCACCTTGTCTCCATCTGATAAAGATTCATGGCCATGACTCCATTTTGTTCCACGAACATTTCCAACCCAAACATCAAAACCACGGTCAGCAAGAACAAAACCCAATGATTCATTTGGGGAATCCATGAACCAAGCATCACCACCCTGATTAAAAATTTAGTTTATTTTGAACTAAAGTTATGATTTCATGTTCATATTCCATAACTATAAAGATGTAAATTAAGAATTTGTGGTAAAGTCAGTCACCATAAAGAGTCCGTGTAGGAGCAAAACTGGAGGTGCGGTTTGTGCTCCCAAATTAAGAATGCCTGATGACACACGTTGAAGCCCTAGCAAGAAACCATCCTTTGTTTGAGCCTGAAGTTATTTTATACACACATTAGGAAAGTTAGTCAGTCTGTTATTTGATTAACACAGTCAGAATTTGATCCAAACATATTATTAGCATGGAATGCTCTACACAATCACCTCAAGAGTCCTTGCAAATCCTTCAAATGAACTCTAGTTCCTTTCTTGTATATTCATCATCTTTATTAGATTTTCCATAAGGTAAGAGATCTCTCCCATTTAGCATTATTCTTAGTTTCTATTTAAGATAGTTACCCTTTACCTTTATACATATGTATCCTTGTATCATATTGTGATGAATCGTCAATTCAAATTATTGGGTCTTTACCAAATCTTAAAGTTTGTCTCAGTGCTAATTTCGTATAAGTAGATACATGTGACAAATAGTCAGTTTCTATGATTCAATCAAACCTCATTGACTATAAACATGTTGCATATTTTACCAAATATAGAGATAGCTAGAACCCCCTGCCAGTCATACTTGAGTAGATAGTGGACTAATCACATTAAGTAGCTATCAAATAATACCTAATTTAATTCAAAACAACTCAATTTAGCCGATTAAGAAGTGAAAGTCACAGTATGAACTATATTCCTGACTTGCATATTCTAAATCGGACATTCTCAATCCAAGCTTCTCTAATGGAGAAAATGAACAAAATACATAACAATCAAGAAAAGGAATTGCTATTACAGACAAAGTCTCAAATGACAATAGATATCCTTTCTCAGTAACATTTACTCTTGGGACAACAGGTCAGGAGTTCAACATTCTGCAATGGAAAATAGGACAAATGAACAACCAGGAAAACGCGATGCCATTACACAATCAAACTAATTTAGGTTTTTCTAGTTCTGTCACTGTAGTGTTCTCCGAAAATCTCAATCAGACAAAATTTTGAAGTATTAAATACACTATTCAGTAATCGATATAAAGTTAAATTTTGAAGTATTAAATACACTATTAAGTAATCGATATAAAGTTGTATAGAAACGGAAAAGGTGAGAGAGCGAGAGAGATAAGTCACCGTGTGTTCTAAGCAATTATAACCAGAAGGTCCGATGAGATTAAAACACAAGCCACCGTCTACAGACTGACTATGTTCGATGATCGAGTCTCCAGTTAAACACTCACTGGAAGAGATACACAGCGATAAGGCGCCCACCAACATCAACGCTTGTAGGATGGATGATGCCATATCAATCGATGAATGAATCGGAGGTGGACAAGTCGCAGCAGATTATATGGTTGTTGGATTTACCAACAACTACTTCTTGTGAAGCATTATGAAGTTTCTTCAAGCGATATTTTCATTTTTCGCATTAAAATTTGAATAGATAGGTTTGACCTCGAATACCGGTAATTATCTTTCGATAACCACCAAGTGCGCTCGATCTCGGATAAATATTTAACTTATTTCACTGGATAATCAATTTTATGATTTGGTTATTTTATTCGATTTTCGAATTAAAATGGTTAAATTTAAGCAAATTGATAGCAAATTAGTAAAGGAAAATTGTATGTTACACGAGAATAATATTATTTAGACATCTTTAATTCGAGCCGATAAAAGCATGTTGTTCATTTTTGTTGGCGGATAGCGCACCAGATTCTCTTAAAAATCATATTCGTTCATATGAAGCACTGCCAAATAAACAGATGTGAGCTCTTCTTCCTACACTGCATGAGAGTGAATAACAGTCCTAGTTTCTTTACATTCTTCCTCGACAAATGTGATTTCGTATAATAACGAGCCACGAGAGAAATTTACATCGGGGGACTTATTACTATCATAGGCCGAGCCGTCGGCCTAGACTTCCCTGCCCCTGAGTACTTACCTATCGACAACCCACCCAACTTCCTACTCGATTGTGATGCTCCCGCACGAATGGAGATGCTATAATATCGGGGCGATACATACATACAGTTGGCTTGACAGTGACAAAAATGGATCGGTGATTCATTCTTTCCAAGCAAACCCCATACTCGATTTCCCTGAGAGCAGTTGACCCTCGTGCGGGTGTACTACCTCATTATGAGGATGATGGGGATGATGGGCAAGAGGAAGAGGAAGAGGATGATGATGAGATACCTAAAGCTAATGACCATTTTGACTTCCATCCATAGACACAACAGCCCCATATCAATAGGACCACTTTCAGGTCCCTTCACAGCATTATACCTAGCCACAAAACCAGCCAGCACAGCAGCGGGGACACAAGGTTCCCGCATGGTTCTCCCCAACATTCTTTGACCAGTTTGCCACTATGTGTAACATCCCAAATTCACGACCAAAAATTGTATTTTTATTAAGGTAAACATCCAAATTAAGAACCATTTATTCTCAATTACAATTATTGAAAATCAGAGTAATATAAGAACGCAAAATCTTCATGCTGTTGATTAGTGTGTACAGTCCTGCATTCGTCTTCACATGATAACTAACGATACCTAAGACAATAAACAACTAGGTAAGCACAATGTTTAGCGAGTTTCCCTCAAAATACCACATATGTGACATCCCCATTTTCACGGCCAGAAAAGGCCGATTTTGTTTATGCTTTATAAAAATCAGAGTACTTCTTTTCATAAAAATGTTGCGGAATTTGTTCCCATAAAAATACGATAAATACGTTATCAAAACATTTTCAAAGAAACGTATTTTATTCATTTTAAAACGTTTGGTATGTCATCATTAACACAAAAACATAAGCATAAACAGAACTTACATTTATTTACACTAGTGATCTACATCTCTTTTAAATCTCTCAGTGTAATGTGACTTCATATCAACACCTGTGATATAAATAAACTGAGTGGGTCAGGTTGGGAAACCTGGTGAGTACATAGGGTTTTCAACCCACAATAATATAATTATTTTATTGTATTTAAACATCAAACAATCAACCCAATTACCAATTCTCATTATCTTCTTAAGGATTTTACCCTAAGGATCAACTAACATTTGTTCATTCATTCCTAAGGATCATCCTAAGGAAACAATATGAAGTCCATTGTTGCCAATGACACATTGGTCAAGCGCAGCTGCTAATATTATCACTTAGGCGTAGCTGCCAGAATTGGGATATTTTCTATGAGGCGCTTATGTCGGTATTGACCTTTAAACGCTACTGTCATGGTCATAAGGCTCCCTATTAGGCGCAGCTGTCGATACTGTCCTTAGAGCGCAACTGCTAGGACGTTTACCATAGATCTAAATCATCTACGGGTTGCAGCGCAGCTGCCAGTGCTCATCTATAGGGTACTAGGTCCACTGTTGCCAATGTATACCTATAGGGCACTAGGTCCGTACTACTAATGTTCCTCTATTTCAACTTTTATCCCTCATCATTCATCTACCCATGTTTTACCCAACATATTTAGTAGATATAAAATACTTTATACAGCTTACATCATTTAAAACATGTATAAATATCTTTCATCAGCATAGACAACAAGTATTCAGACAATATGCACACATAACACGTAATTTATATTAAAATACTTCATATCTATGTGTAAGATGAAAGGGACCATGCACTCACTTGAAAGGTGGTGACTCAGCACTCGGACATCGCTTCGATACTCTCAAAACAATTTTCCTTCGATAAAACCTAGTATTAATACCACTAGGGTTTAGTTTAACGTCAACCGCAACTAATTAATAATCTAACTATTATTATTATTATATAAGCGTTAAATAACACTCAATATAACTCATAATAATAGCCGAAATAACTATTTTAAGGACCTAATAACATTACTATAATTATTTGAAAGCTATATTAAAAATTGTGTAAGCATAGCTCACTTACAGTGGATTTTAAAGAAAATCGGGCTTTATTTGGAGCAGCGTTTCGAAACCGAAAGACCCTTTTTCTTGGGACTCCGGGAGCCTCGGGGATTCCCTCGGGTGCTAGGGGTTCACCTAGACTTTAGGGAACTCAAAAGGGGCTAGAGAGAGAAAGTTCCTAAAGAGAGTGAGAAAATGTGTGAAAAAGTTGGAGACCCTCGCCCCTTTTTTATACCCCGCGAGGCCTCGGACTACGCTGGGTGTAAGGCTCGCATCGTACAACACGCGTCCGAACAGGCTTGGTGCGACGTGGCTGCTTGTGGACCGAGGAAGGCTAAAACGCAGAGCGTAAGGACATTGTACGTGAGGCGTACTCGGACGCTGGGCGTATGCGAGGACAGGTGTCACCCATCCGAAGCGAGGCGTGGGCAACAAATGCATTGAAACCGGAGAACATCGCGAATGAAACACTACGTGGGATGGATAAAAACTTTGAAGCCAAAGAGGACGGAGCATATTATTTCATTAACAGAATCTGTCCCTAAATTTAGGGGATTCAGAGAAAAGATTATGAACGAAGCCTACAAGATGCGAAATTCCGTACATCCGGGGTTCGGATAAGATGTATCTGGACATTAAGCAACATTTTTGGTGGCCAAATATGAAGGCGGAGATCGCCACTTACACGGGCAAGTGTCTCACTTGCACCAAGGTGAGAGTGGAATACCAAAAGCCCTCGGGACTATTACAAGAGCCAGTAATACCCGAGTAGAAACGGGAAATGATTACTATGGACTTCGTGACCAAATTACCTAGGACGGCAAACGGATTGGATGCTATCTGGGTAATCGTCGATAGGTTAACTAAATTTTGCTCATTTCCTTCCAATAAAAGAATTGTGATGGAAAGATTAACATGGATCTATATCAAAGAGATCGTGAGACTCCACGGAGTGCTGATATCTATAATCTCGGATCGGGATAGTAGATTTACCTCACAATTTTGGCAGTCACTCCAGAAGGTAATGGGAACACAGCTAGACATGAGCACTGTCTACCACCCTCAAACTGATGGCCAAAGCGAACAAACCATTCAAACACTCGAAGACATGCTCCGAGCCTGTGTGATTGATTTCGGCAAGTCATGGGATACCCACTTGCCCTTGATTGAATTCTCATACAACAATAGTTATCACACGAGCATCAAGGTTGCTCCTTTTGATACTTTATATGGTCGTAAATGCAGTTCGCCTCTATACTAGGCTGAGGTAGGTGACACCCAACTAACAAAAGGGCAATCACCAGATAACACTCTTACAGGACCAGAAATCATTCGAGAGACTATGGAAAAGATAATCCAAATTAGATATTGACTTCAAGCATCGTGAGACCGACAAAAGAGTTATGCTAACAAACGACAAAAGCCTTTGGAATTCCAAGTTAGGGATCGTGAGACTCCACGGAGTGCCGATATCTATAATCTCGGATCAGGATAGTAGATTTACCTCACAATTTTGGCAGTCACTCCAGAAGGCAATGAGAACACAGTTAGACATGAGCACTGTCTACCACCCTCAAACTGATGGCCAAAGCGAACGGACCATTCAAACACTAAAAGACATGATCCGAGCATGTGTGATTGATTTCGGCAAGTCATGGGATACCCACTTGCCCTTGATTGAATTCTCATACAACAATAGTTATCACACGAGCACTAAGGTTGCTCCTTTTGAGACTTTATATGGTCGCAAATGCAGTTCGCCTCTATACTGGGCTGAGGTGGGTAACACCTAACTAGCAAAAGGGCAATCACCAGATAACACTCTTACAGGACCAGAAATCATTCGAGAGACTATAGAAAAGATAATCCAAATTAGATCTTGACTTCAAGCATCGCGAGACCGACAAAAGAGTTATGCTGATAAACAGCAAAAGCCTCTGGAATTCCAAGTCGGAGATTGGGTGTTATTGAAATTCTCTCCCTGGAAAGGGATGATCCGTTTTGGGAAACGGGGAAAACTGAACCCACGATATATTGGTCCATTCGAGATTCTTGCCCGAATTGGTCCAGTAGCTTATAAGTTGCAGCTATCTGTGGAGCTCAGCAATGTACACCCCGTGTTCCACGTCTTGAATTTAAAGAAGTGATTATCAGATGAAACCCGTGTCATTCCTTTAGAAGAAATCGAAATAAATGAGAATCTCTTATTCATCGAAAAACCGGTCGAGATTATGGATAAGGAAGTGAAGCGTACAAAAAAGAGCCGCATTTCGATTGTGAAGGTTTGATAGAACGCTAAGTTTGGACTGGAATTCACATGGGAATGCAAAGACCAGATGAAGCAGAAGTACCCTCACTTATTCTCTCATTCATGATCCTACCTTTCAAAAGAATTTCGGGACGAAATTTCCTCTAACGAGGGGATGATGTCACAACTAGCACTCTCGGCTAGGAAATTATGTCAATATGTAATCAACTTCTGAGGTATTCTGTAACTTTAAGCTTGATAATACATGATGTTCATTCCAAAAACCTAATTCAAAGCATTTCATACACTCAACTGTGGGTTATAACCCTAATGTTCTGGTTCAAACTCAGATTGGACTAGAATCCTTTTATTGGGCCTATTAAGCCAATAAACTCTCAGTTTGATTAAATTGGGCCAAGGAACCCTATTTGGGCTCCAGTTGGACCCACATCCATGAAACTAAAGCATTTTGGGTCATGTCGGCCTAGAATGATTCATCTTATCTCTAATGGGCCATGACGGGCCATAAATGATTTCATTATCCCTAATGGGTCGTAAACACATAGATAGGCCCAATGGGCCGAAAACTTCCTTTAGTAGACCTTATATTTTCGGATATATTCAATTCAAGCCTAACATCAAATTCTTTCCTTCCCTCGCCCCATTCACGGTTCAAAAAAAAAAGGAAATGGAAGAAGATTTAATTTAAGCTTGACAACACATAATTATCTATGATGTATCAAGATAATCAAATAAATCTAGAAACCTATTATCCTCCATGCAAAAGTTTCCAATATCTCTCCTCTTTCCTTTCTATTTACGGCCAAAGATCCTACACCCCACCCCAATTCATCCATCTTCAATCCCTAAAATCCTCTAATAACTCTAAATAGGTCTCTCAATTCTTATCAAGAAATTTGTGTGTGTTGATGTGTGTGTTTAAGAACACTCCATTAAAGTTCATACTTGGTAAAATACTTTCTATTTAAAGTGTTTAACTTCATATGATAAATCTTTCACTTACTAACATTCTAAACCGTGATTCATGTTCTTAGAAGTCCCTAGGACTCGAAAACTCTCCTCAAGAAACAAGCAAGGCCGAGAATCTCCCGCATCCTTCACCAAAATCGAACCCAACACCCCTAAGTGGGTTCATACCCCTTGTTTTCGGTTTTTATTATGTTTTGGGGGAGAATAAAAGTTGCTTATGTGATAGATCTATGTATTTGTGCATGTTTAAGTGTGTTTTCTAAGTTATATGTTGTGATTATGTGAAGAAACTTCGTAAATCTCAAAAACTCTATCAAATCGTGACTATATTTGTAAACTAAAACACTTTATGTAACTTACCATAAAGATGAAAGTGTTACACATGTTAGGGATGTTGAAAAACTAAACAAAATCTTATAAAGGGACCATTTTTTACAAATAAACAAAAAGATGAAGCTTTTATGATACTTACAGTTTTTCAAGGACCAAAGAGTCATTTTATATAAAAATGGGTCTTTATGTTATTCATGGTTTTAAAAGGGCTAAAAGAGTAAAATTTCACAAAATGGGCTTAAATTGGGCCTTCACGGTTTTATGGGCCAAATTGGAAAAATTATAACTTTTGTGGATTAAATTGTCATTTTAAAAAAATTTGAGTCAAAGATGTTGTTTTTCGGTTAAAAAGGGTTGAAAATGCCAATTTTATTAAATTGGGTCGAAAATGTAAACTTTTATATAATTGGGCCGAAAATGTCAATTTTTATATAATTGGGCCGAAGATGTCAACTTTTATAATATTGGGCCGAAAATTTTATTTTTAACAAAAGTGGGCTAAAAATGTCATTTTATTTGAAATAAGCCCATAAATGTAAAGTTTTGATCTTAAGGGACCAAAAGTGTCAATCTTACAAAAAATGTGCCTAAATTATAAATTTTTGGCTTAATGTGCCAAAAATGTCATCATAACAAAAAATTTGTTTTTTATGTTATTTTGGTAAACAATCAAGCTAAAACAAACAATGTAATAACAAACGAACTAAAAATCGATTATATGTTTATTGAGCCTAATACTTACATTACATGTTTATTGGACCTTAGGTCCATTTACGTGCTTACTGGCCTGGATTATACATTACATGTTTATTGGGTTTTAGTGGTTCATTTACATGTTTATTGGATCTGGATTATACATTACATGTTTACTAGGTCTTAGTGGTCCATTTACATGCTTATCATGCCTGGAAATAAAACATAAGCTGCAATATATATATATATATATATATATATATATATATATATATATATATATATATATATATATATATATATATATATATAAAACATAAACTGCAATATGACGTAGAATTGTAGAAAAACAAACATTTAAAGGTTTGCATTAATGTCCTAAGACAAATCCATGCAATAGTTCATTAACGTTTGAATTTAGGATACAATTATCTATAATTAAGTTCATGCACGAGAACTTAATTCCAACGAATCTAGTGAATGTTTTCAACGGAAAAGCGAGGTGATTTGAAGTGGTGTTAATGGTACAAGTGTTCTTATAGATCCTCAAAATAGCAATTTTTTTTTTTTAAGTTTCAATACACTCATGTTCAAAATCCCAACCTCATTTGAATTACCTTAGTATATTGTTGCTAATAGCTAACTAGTAACCCAAAGCCATTAATCCAATGATCGTCTGACAACTATCTATAGTTAAATTCATGCACCAGAACTTAGTTTCTGACGAATCTAGTGAAAGCTTTCATAGGAAAAAACAATAGGATTTGAAATGGTATGGATGCTGCAAGTGTCCTTGACTTCTTATAGACCCTCAAAATAGCAATTGTTTTTACAGTTTCAATAACTGTTACAACTTTCACAGTCATACCTTCAAAAAACCAACCTTATCCGAATTACCTTAATATATTGTTGCTAGTAGCAAACTCGTAACCCACAGCCATTAATCCAATGTCGAGCCCATCTTAGGTTCTTAGCCCATGTTGTTAAATGGATGATATAAAGCTTAATAAGGCTATAAAACATTCATATTCCCAACGTATAAAACATTCACACCTACGTATAAAACATTCATATTCCCAACGTATAAAACATTCATATAAAGCTTAATAAGGCTATAAAACATTCATATTCCCACCTACGTTGGACAACCTTCACACCTACTAAAACTAACAAAAACTCCAACAAGGATTTCATCACAAACAGGCCATCAACACATCTATTCCTTGACTTCATATACAATCTAAGCTTCAGATCTACTTCCGCTACTACTATGGATGTGTGATAGAGAATTTACTCAAGATTCTCCACATATTTGGAACAAATTATGATACAATATTGTATAGATAAGAGATTTTGTAAGCTAGGAAACAAGATATCCTCTTATTTGTTAGGATTGTAATCTTCTATATTTAAGGTGTCATGAATTAGAACGCAAAAGACAACAAGGATATTAATACACAACAAATATAATCAAGAAACAAGTTTGTTGCTAATTGCTAGTTAAAACCACAACTTTTCTACAGTTTGGGCAGGCCCCACAAACCTCAACCCAAGGAAACAAACAGCAGGAGTGGAATCTGTGCATGCATGAAGGAAGGTTTATCAGTTCATCACCATCTTCAAAACCTTCAAGACAAATACTACACTCCCTTGATGCACTTGAGCTTTCATTAATTTTTTCATCGTATTTGTAAACCTTTATCAACAAGCAGTTTAAGGCATCTTGAGAAAGTCCAGGGGTAAGTATTCTTGTCGATGATGGCATTGCTATTACTCCCGAAACTGGTTCATCAATGAAGCTATTGTAGACGTTGTACAATAAGTCATCATCTTCATGAAGGCTGGATGAAGATCTACTGTATCCCAATACCAAAAATTAAGTCACAATTTGATTCATGAATAGGAACTGAATCCACCTAATTAAGAAAGATTAAAGATATGATACCTGTTTTCTGAAACATGAACACCTCTTAATCTTTCGAGGAGTCTTTCCCTTGCAAGTAACACAACTCCTGGAAGCCTATCGTTTTCAGTGGTGCCCCATCTGCGTATGCTTCTGAAATCTTCTGAATTGATGATGCTTCCAGAGGGAGAGTGATCATGACTACCACCTGCTTCCAGCTGAACTAGCTCCTATTATGGGGATGATCATAAAGCATGGAGTTTAGACTAATTTGAGTAATTTCAATGAAAAATAAACAAATCCTAAACCCTAGAAGCAAGAAAAGAGATCAGATCAAGAAAACCTCATGTCTACCCATCAAATTCCATATTTTTTAGCGTATACCTAACACTGAATGTTGTTTTGGACAGAATTTACAGTCAAGAGTTCGTTCAAATCACATATCAAAGAGAATTTTGGTTGTACCGAGTGGCGATGACGGTGGATACGCCGAGAGGGAGTGTCAGAGGCTTCGAGATTCCGGCGATTCGGATGCCGGCGATTGGTGGTGATGTGGCGGGAGGAATTTCCTTTCGCTGGTGAGGAATCTGAGTCTTTGTCGTCGACGGCGTTGTTGTGAACACCAAACCGAATCCTTCTGTTGTGAAATAACTTGGAAGCACTCGTCATTCAACAGTATCCACGAAAAGAAAAACCCTGATTACAACTAGATTTGCAATCAGTTTAAGAAATATCACGACAAATTAGTGAATTACACAGACACGATAAAGATTATGTTTTGGGAGTGATGAATCAGTGTGTAAGTTGTAAGAAAGGTAAAAGATGGAAGAAGGTGATGCCTTTTTGAATTTGGTAAAGGTAATCCGTGGAACATTGATTTCATGTGGAAGATGTAAGAAAATTAAATTTCTTGTTTGACTTTTTGGTTTTTACCCAACTGCTCCACCGAACAGATAAAGTGGCGGCTATCGAAGTATAGAACCTCGTCTGCTGGGCTTTTTGAGGCTTTTTGAATTGCAATAGCCCAGTATTCAAATTTGTTTTCAAAAAAAAAGAAAAAAAAATCAATAATACACACGAGTAGTCGAGTATACATATATAGAAGAGGGATTCGATAAAACCAAACACCACAAATTTGCATGTTTTTAAGCACATTTTGGTGCTGTTTTTTCAAGGACGTTTTGGTGCTGTCTTTTTTAAACGTAAAACGTTTATAATCTATAAAAAAAAGTTGGATCAATTGTATATAATTTAGAAAAGGAAAAGTGTGTCTTTTTATGTCTAAAAAGTAATTTTAGTGGTAAGCAAAACCACACTGCAATTAAAATTAACCGTAAAAAACGCTTAACCACAATAAAAACCAATGGTAATGTTTTCTGTTTTTCAAAAACCTCAAATTTGCGGTGTGATGCAGTTAATAGTTTTTTAAAACCACAAAAAATCGCACCGCACCGCATTTATTGTATAAGTTTTTTTATTAATTATTAATATATTAAATATTAAAAATAAGATAAGTTTTATGAATAAAATAAGGATAAAATTCTATGAGACAAAAGTATTGATTGTTTGTTATGTTTAACATAAGAAAATTGTGAAATTTGACAATTTTAAGATGTTTATTGTTAATTACTAGTGATCTGATTCTTTTAAAATATTAATCTTTTGTAATTTAAGTTAATTGTCTTATACATTATGGTTTTATTATTATTAAAAGTAATATATTTGAACTCTTAAAATCGTTTGAACTCTAAAGAGCGCTTAAAAATCACAAAAACTAACCGCACCAAATTCATACGGTTAATAACCAAAACACAAAAAAATAAACCGCACCGTAAAAATAACCGTCTAACCGCACCGCAAAAATAACCGCACCACATGGTTTTGAAATTAGATTAACCGCATGTGCGGTTAGTGGTGAGGTTTTGACTAATAACCGCACTGCGCTCATCCCTACTACAAACAGCTAAAATAAGTTAAAATAAACTGATTTTTTAAACTTAAAAGAGTTTTTCAATAATTAAGTATTTTAGTTTTACAATGAAATATAATTTATACAATCACAATAACATTTTTTTATATTATTGATTCCATATTTTTTATTAACAGTTCAATAACTTCATAATCATATATTTGTACTCGTTGCATTACCATATCTTTAGAACAAATAAATGTTTCAAGGAGTTTACTTAGGTGTTGTTTGTTTTTTCTAAAAAAACCACTTCTAACCACTTATTAATGCGCCACACAGTACATGCGTAGCACTTGGCTCTTTATAGTTGTTTGTTTTTCAGAAGACTTCTGACTTAAAAACTGATGCGCGTGTGCTGCGTGACACAACATTTGACCATCTGCTTCAAACCTCTTCACACCTTATTTTAACTTATTGCAGCAGTCTGCAAAGTTTAAAAAACAAATAAACTTTTTATTACATGTTGTAGTGGTTTGATCCCCTCTTCTGTTACAAAAGATTGCAAATCAACAGATGTGGTACGTAGACTTTAAACATTTTTGTTTCAAAAAAACAAACGGAGCCTTAGACTCATTTATTATACCTTATATTATACCAACCATAAAAAGTAAGAAAAACATGCAAATTTATGGAATCTCGCTACACAAAATATTGTTATGGAAAATTAATATGATCTACTATTTACCATTTGGTTAATAGGGATGGTTAGAATAAGAATATAAAAATATTAAAATTGTAAGAACTAACTATATATAGTTTAATAACTTAGGGGTTTTTTTTTTTTTTTTTTTTTTTTTTTTTTTTTTTTATGAAAAAAAAGATATCATTCTTTTTAATAACTATATATCGATATTAATAAACTTTAAATACAACAAAATTATATTACGAATACATGAACAATTTTTTTTCTTAAAATATATAAATATTGGAATTTATCTAGAAAAAGAGAATATTTATGTAAAAAAACAAAATTATCCATTTTTTAAATTAAATAGTATAATAAGAAATGACCGGGTATTAAACTATTAATATTTATGTAAAAATAAACATAATTATCCGAAAGAATTTTGTAATTAAATAGTAGAATAAGTAATGAAGGTCTTGGTGGAGCTCGGTGTTTGCCGATGTCTCCTTAGTGTTAACCAGACCACTAACTTGACATGTTGATTTCAATGATCAAACCAGGTAAGGATTACCAGATGAAGGAGAAATTGACATATTTTTCTTTTTTTTTTTTATTTTTTTTACCAACAACAATTTCAAATAACAATTTGCAAAAAAAAAAAAAAAAAAAAAAAAAAAAAAAATCCTTTTCAAAATATAACCATTCTTTTAAAAAAAAAAATCAAATTTAAACCTTCTATCAACGACTATAAATAACAATATCCTTCTTCATTTTTCACCACATTTAAACATTTTTAAATTCAACTCTCCTAACCTTTCTATTTTGGGAAAATTACAAAAAAATTCTTAAATATTGGCTCCATAAACGATTTAGTAATTAACTTTTTTTTTATTCAATTAAGTCCCAAAAACCAATAATCGTATTCAGTTTAACCATTTTACACGGTCAATGAGTCATCAAACTTTCAAAAATTACACTTTTGATCCATATTTTAAATTTTATTACAAATTTGATCTAAAATTTACACTTTTGCTCCAATTTTAAAAAATGTATTACAAAATTGGTCCAGATTTACTCTTTTGACCTAGATTTCAGAATTTTGTTATGAATTCATTATAATTTTAGTTTTTTTACAGCATTTTTTCTAAAAAAAATCGAATATGTTTTTTCTTTAAAAAAAATCATATTTATACAAAAAAATGAACATATTTTCACATAAAAAATCTTATATTTTCTATATAAAAACTTTTTAAAAATAATATTTTTCTATACGAGATACCTATTTATAAAAATAGGTATTTATTAAGTACATAAATATATACAAATCCGTTTTTATATAAAAAAAATGTATACAAACACATATTTTTTTAAAAAAAAAATCTATACAAACAACTATTTTATTATAAATACATTTATATACAAACACATTTTTATTATATATATATATATATATATATATATATATATATATATATATATATATATATATGTATGGATACAAACACCTATTTCATAGTAAATATATGTGTGTGTTAGTTTGTGTTTATATATATATATATATATATATATATATATATAATATGTCTACAAACACCTATTTCATAGTAAATATATGTGCGTGTTAGTGTGTGTGTGTGTATATACACACACAAACACACACAAGCCTTTTACCCGCATCAAACGATGGGTCCGAATAGTTTCATTCGGTATTATTTCTATTCGACAACAAGTATAAATATGTTTTTACAAAATATATTTATAATAAAATAGATGTTAGTATATTTTTTTGTAAAGTACGTGAATCTATATTCTTTTATAATAATAAATTTTTATATAGTTATGTACTTCATAAATACTTGTTTATATAAATCAATATTTCTTATACAAAAAATAATTTTAAAAAAAAATTATATACAAAATATAAGATTTTTTTATGTGAAAATATTTTTTTTTTTGTATAAATATGCTTATATAAAGAAAAAACATATTCGGTTTTTTATTTAGAAAAAAAAGTTGTATAAAAAAAGTTGTAAAAGATATTACAGTTAAGATGAATTTATAACAAAATTTTGAAATCTTGGCCAAAAGGGTAAATTTTGGACTAAATTTGTAATAAAGTTTAACAGCTAGGTCAAAAAATGTAAAATTTGGACCAAATTTATAATAAAATTTAAAAGTTGGGCCAAATGTGTAGTTTTTGAAAGTTGGATAACCTGTTAACCAGATAAAAGGGTTAAATTGAATACGATTATTGGATTTTGGAATTTAATTGAATAAAAAAGATATAATGACTAAATTGATTATAAAACCAACATATAATGACTTTTTTTTCAATTTTCCCTTTTTATTTTAGATATTCTTCAGAACCTCATTGCTAAAAAATGACTCGTGTTTGGTCAACTGATAAGAAGATCATATTGTCTCGTTCATGGGTTTATTTAATAGAGGACACAATCAACATTAATGTCACTACGACTACTATATGGAGGAGAGTCGCCAAAATATACAATTGTAAAGTCGGTCTACCTTGAAGTAAAGATGAAGTCTTTTCCAAATGGATATATATATATATATATATATATATATATATATATATATATATATATATATATATATATATGCAAATACAGTTTCTATTCACTTTAACAATGTGTTTCTTAGGATGACGCGTGAAGCCGAGAATGGTTGAAATGAATATACTTTGTTATTAAATGTTCTTGAGGCTTTCCGTGAAGAAACTAACACACCTTTCCAGCTTGTTGAGTTTTGGCAAATTGTGACGCGGTGTGAAAAATAGGGTCAACTTTAAACACGTTGTCTTTTAGTTTCTAGTCACATGTATGTTTTAATTTGTAGTTGTCTTGTGTGTTATTTTAGTTTCAAGTGTGTCATGTTCAAGTGTGTCATGTTTTTATAAACATACTTTGAAATAAATTTCATTAAAGTCTCTGCGGATCCTCTACAGCTCTGTGAAATTTTTGTTTTTTGATTTTTTTTTCATTTTTTCGTTTTTTTTATGTTCATTTTCATTTATTAATATTAATTTTTTTTAAATACACTAATACCTTATGTGATTATTATGTAAAAAATTTGACAAAAAAAGTTAAAAATAATGAAATGTTTTATATAATACGTTTGCTACTGATGTATGTTTTCCATGTATTTTTACTGTTTTGTATTTACAAATCACTCTCCACAAACACAATGAAAAAATTATTTTTACTGATAATTGAAACTCACAAACTCACAAAAACCCATTAAAATACCTCTATAACTTTTATAACTAATCCGTAGAGGTGTACACAGATCCGTAGAGGTGTACACTGATCCGCAGAGGTGTACACAGATCCGCAAAGGTGTATACTAATCTACAGAGGTGTACACTGATCCGCAGATGTGTACACAGATCCACAGAGGCGTATACAAATCCTCAGAGGTGTACACTGATCTGCAGATGTATACATTGATCCGCAAAGGTGTACACTGATTCGCAGAGGTGTACACT